CTACCATACTACACAGCGCAACAACTCAGAAGACAGCTATCTTCGTACTGAACGCCGTAAAAATCAAATATTAAAATGAACCTGGAATGTATTAAGTGAGGCTTTGGACTCTTTCCACCTGGATAAGAACAGGGAATCGTCCCTGGAACTTGAGAACACGGCAATTAATTATAGATCGCATAGCAGGCGTTAAATTTCGTGAGTGAATGAGCTACTGTTAGCAGTTTCTGAAATGGGACTTTACTTCAAGGAGTGACTTCGTGTGTAAACACTTGTTACGTCATATAAAAACATTCCTCATTTTTTGTCTTTAAAATATTTGAATACATCAAATTATTTTAACTCTGTACATCAACGAATTCCGTTCTTCTTCCTACTTTCTGTGTTCCTCTTCCACGCTTTGTTCTCTTTGTAGTCCTCTCTTGTCCTCCCACACCCTCCATCGTTATCTTGTTCCTTCAATTTTGCACGGGTCACAATTATAAATTCATTGTAAGACGTGTTTCATAACACTCTGAATATGGGTTTGAACACATTCGCCTGTGTTACTTTGAATACAGAGAAGCCACAGCTTTTGATTACGGCTGAAGGTTTGGTGTTAATAAGAGAGACCGGATATACTCGTTAATGTCACCAGAAAAACAACAGTTTGTAATCAGGTTCACTCCATCCATATCAAATGCTCTCCTGCTGGGGATTAAACTGTTTTTTGTGTGTAAATCAAAACTAATATATGAATTATTAATGTTATAAAGATATAGCGGTTTAAGGTTAATTTATTGAAAACTATAATGACGTATCTTCACTGAATAGAGTTTCTCCTTTCAGGAATATCTTCGGCAAGATAATAAAATCTCATGATCGCATATTATACACAGTTACAAGTATGATACATAAATATATTACATTTTTAATATAGCAATGTAATTAAATAATTATGCTAATTTAGATAGACATGTCAGGAATCATTCAGTCACACAGCTTAAAGCGTAAAGGAACTCACCCTATTCGAAATATTCAAATAAAACTCGTTCTAGATAGGGACAGACAAAAGAATGCTGATGTCGGAAAACAAACAGTAATAGTTAATTAGGACTTCAAGTTTTTTACGGAGTTAAGTCTTCTGGGTTACAGCGCCGCGTAGTTTGGTAGAATTTTACCACCTTCACAAAACTTAACTCGACTGACCAAAAGTTATCAATCGGCACATGAGAACCAACTTACGTCGATTCAGAAACGAATCTTAAACCCCAGATATTAAATTTTAAATCTCATTCCAGCAGCCTAGACACAAATCTCAGTCGCTTAATTAGAAACGTCCGCCGTCTACTTAGACACTCCCGTCATGCATTTGAGTGCCTTTATTCTGATACAGGGGAGTGTTTGGCATGTGCAAAATGTATGGCCTAACTTCGTGAATAATTTCCGCTGATGTATGCTTAAATTACCTAAAAGTTTATGAAAAGATTCGTCTTGGATTTTATTACAAATCACAAAATAAGGGCTCATAAAACACTTATACGCCTATTTATAAACTCCAATGTCATATTTCATGAGGTCAGGCAGGATATTCTAGAAAAGCACTCTTATATCAAGAAACTGCCTTCAGGTAAGTTGGTTTATTTTAAACTAAGCTTTGTACTTCAGCACTAACGTCTTATACAAATTTTTACACAAATAAACAAAATATAATATCATCCTAATCTGAAAACTTTAAAACTTATCTGGAATCAAGCTGAGATTTAAACAGATTTGCATAAATAATTTGTTCCACTAATTCAGAACCAATTTTTAAAACCAAAAACGAAATGTCACAGGAAAAAGAACAGTTACATACTTAAATCACTCGATATAATTTGAGTAAAACTCAAGGATAATGCTGCAACTAGCTGAATGTCCCGTGTTGTCCCGTCTTCCCCTAAAGTAATGATTCCTGCCTTCACAGAGGTCTCTGCGGCACGCCGTCACTAATTCTTTTGCGCTGTTGAGACCTGCTTTGTCTCCACCGAGTCAGATAATGAAGTACACAAAATTCAGTCCAATTACGTAATTTAAAGACCTTGGTTTCCTGAATATCACTGACTCTGCAAACTCTTAGACGGCGAGAAAACTGAATTTAAAAAAAAAAAAAACGAAATATATTGACTAATACATTTTATAAATTTCTTATCTTCTAACGAGTATTTTTCGACTGCACATTTTACAAAGCGTACAATAAATAAATTGTAATAAAATTTATTTTTGAGTAAGTAATATTATAAAGTGTCATTGGAAAATTAGACATGCCGTCACGCAGATTGTATAGAATCTTAAATTTTCTCTGGTTGGTTATCACTTTTACAATTGTGTCTCGGTTCCATAATTCTGTCCAGGGGTAATATCGCAAAGAGAAAAATACAGAAAAATAATGCTTCACAAGTTAACACGAGACTGAGACCGCGGGTGAAATTCAGTTTGAGAGGCGAAGACAGTTGAGCTTAATATTTACACTCTTACTTCTGTTGAGTAAAATAAACCGAATTTGGTCGTAAAAATACACGAGGACAAATTTGCCAACTTCGGTGATATTTCCAGTACGATTCAACAGGAACATGAGTGAGATTTGAGGGTCTCACGGCGGTGAGTCTGAAGATTGATATCTTCCGGATTATTGGTCCGTATAGTGTGGTAGAAGTTTACCGACGTTTCAGAGGTAAACTTTTGGTAACTTCTTCCAGACCACACGGCGTTACAACCCACAATACAGCCCTCTTCCTACGACACGTTTGGAAGACCGAGTATAATCGAATTTTAAACGTTCAGTATTTACTTCCAAGCGTATAATAAAATCTGCGTTTAAGAAGGAACTTCTGTACTGCACTGACAGCAGATAATGAAACACAGTCTCGTGATCAAGGTAGACGCTGATCTGTTGTGTCCCGAGTAACAGCCACTTTCTACGGATTTCTTCAACTTTATTAAACAAACAAGAAGACGTCAGTCAGTCAGCCACTTAAGCCACATTAGTAGCGCGGCGTCTTGGCCTTATTGAATTACAACTTCCGCACTCCGTCCGAAGCCAATAACATCAGCAATCAGCTTCGCGACAGAAAATTGGATAACGACGGCGGGCAGACATTTTTCGACGTCGTAAGAAGAATTGAATGAAAATTATTGTTTCAAATCTTAAGAGAAAAAGACAACTCGAGAGACCTCGGCTTAGATGGGAGGATAATAATAAATCAGGGAGAGGCACAGATGGAAGACTCTTGTGTTATAAAAGAAGTTGGATGTCATGACTAGCTGAGCGTAATATTAGCTTCTCAATAAAGACTCCGTTCTGTTGGTTTGGGTGCGAGTCTCTGAGTAACAAGGCTACACAGCGAGCCTATGAATGCATTCACACAAGTGCCCATTCAGAGTAAGGAAAAAGCTAACTTAGCAATAATAAAAGGAAAATAAGAGTGTTTCAAAAGAGGACGTGATGTGTCATTGTCAGCTACGAGAGTCTGTTTGCATAGTGCCGAGAGCCCATGCCTTAATCCTGATCAAATATTTATAACCGTAATTATCTTATAACAACCGGTAGTCATTATTTCGAAACTACCACGAGGGATCCAGGGATCAGTCACACCAACCTAGTCGTCAACTCTCTGTCCTTCCTGCATGCGATCCTCTGTCGCCACGTTCTGACAAGCTGATGTTTTAACTCGGATGTCCTGTTGAGTTGTGGTCCAGCACTCTGATTGATACAGCCAAGTGGTACTTATATGCTCCACCTAATTTTAGAACAATCAATTCTACAATTTGCGTTTGTGTGTTTCAAATAATTCTCAGTGTAAAAAGGGGTTATTTCCTTAACCAGTCGATCTTTGTAATGGTGAAGAGCTTTGTTTTCTTTGCGGTACGGACTAAATTCATAAATGCCATTTGGAGAAACTTCGATTTCAAAGGCATATTTTTGCTCTGTAGGCTAATGTCATGACGCACTGATAGGCCCACTGGATATCAAAACCAAAATGTTTGCGATCTGCATTACTTTAGACATTGAAACGTGTTGATTTATTCAACTGGTTTCAAATTTAACACAATCTCGCCTCTTACTGGTTACTTAATCTTGGAATGCATTAACATCTACCAATGCAGTATTTCTATTACGAAATTCATTAATAAATCAACAGAAATACGGACCCGCGGGGTTTCTTTGTCTAAATCTTTTACGTCTCTGTGTTCAAGATGTCGTATGACCGGCCACTTCTAAAAACAAACAGCGAATAATTTTTTCTATTGATTCTTCCTACCAGCCATCTTCCTGCTCTTATATCTCACATAATTACTGCTAAATCCGCGGCGAGTAGTTCGATCCTCGCCTTAGGTAATCTCCCCCCCCCCTGGCCCAATTCGCAGCCAGTCCGGAGGAGGGACGCATGCGCGCGTAGAACGGTCCATGCACAACCTGCTGCCTACCTTGCGGGCGGGCGTCAGTCTGCTGTCGACGCCCGAACCACAGGCGACGCCACGCGACGTGTTTTCCATCTCTCTCACTCTCGTTTAGCTGTTTCTGTTTCTCGACGCAAGAAAATACCAGCAGGCTCTCTCTCTCACTCTCTCTCTCTCTCTCTCTGTCTTGGAGCTTCGCGGTTAAACCGACATGATCCCGTCAGGAGCATCTGCCTAACTAACTAGTTACTTGTTCGAATCAGCCATGCGTCGCGCTCCGTTCAAAATAAAGACTCTGAAACTTGCATTCTGATGCGTTGTAATATCTTCTCTTTCCGAGGCACTACATATTATAATTTTCTATCGTTACCTCTCATTCTTTCGCACGAAACCTATTTCTCAAGGCGCGTATTTCTGTAGAAAGTCCGGTATCACAGTTACGAAAACCCGTGGAATAAAATTAGAAACGGCGCGTTAACAAATCTCGGGTTTCAAACCCCCTCAATTCTGTCACTAGATTCTCACTGCATTAGTTCCGTCTACCGCCATGCACGAAACATAGT